CTGTGCTTAAAACCTTTAACAGGATGATATCTGAGCTCCTCGCCAGGCTCACTTCAAGCTTGCTCATCAAGCTGTGGCCACAGAGGCCTCCAGTCAGCGCCTCCAATATGCCAGGCTTTCCCCCATGCAGATCCTCCACCCACGCTCCCTCTGCCTGAGATGTCTCTTTAACCCTCACCCAGGTTCACTTCTCAGTGTTCAGGTTTCAACTCACAGCTACAAGCCCCCTCTCAAAGAGATACTCCCTGGTGTCCTTCTCCACACCCACTGCCCATCCCCCACACCAGCAGACCCTCAGAGTAGGCTTACTTTTCCCTCCTAGCACTTATCATAGCCTCAAACTGCATGGTCTGTTTCCTCAAAAGACTGTGAGCTTCACAAGGGCAGGGAGGGCTATCTGTCCCTCAGGTGACACTGAGTCCCTAGAGTCTAGCACAGAAATGATGAATGAATTAATGAATTTCTCATGACTGCTGCTGCTTACAAAGCACTCCTCCAAGCAGGACCAGAATATAGCCTACAGTGCGCACCACCCTCTTGCCCCCATCACACTGTGCTTAGGCATCAGAAGCCCCTTCCAGCTCAGAAATGGGAGCTCCTCTACCTCCCCATTGTGGGCTGGGGGCTCCTCACCTCCTCCTTCAGGAAAACAGAAAAATATCACAGGAAATGGAACCCTGCTCTCTCGGCTAATTCCTCTGATAAAGGAAACAGAATAGCACCTCTCATCCTCCAACATCCTTTTCTGCCATAGATGAAAAATAATTTATTTAGGGGCGGCCCATGGCTCACTTGGGAGAGTGTGGTGCTGACAACACCAAGGCAAGGGTTAAGGTCCCCTTACCAGTCATCTTTAAAAAAATAATAATAATAATAATAGGAATAATAATTTATTTATTCTCATCCTTCTAATTGTTTGAGCAGGGACCATGGGTGAGCACCAGATGGAAAATTACTGCTTCGACTTTCATTGTTTAAGGTGCTTAAATGACACGCAAGAAACAGGTTTTTAGGTCTGTGATGCTGAGAAAGGTTGGTAGCAAAGTAGAACGAACAGGATTACAAAGAACTAGAAAATCAGCACTGTAATTTACTAGCGCTTCCATTTACCAGGTGCAGGATCCTGGGCCTCAATTTCTACATCTGACAAATGGAGACAGTGATATTGAACTTCAATACCATAAAGGGAAGTCCTGAACATCTGTAAAATCCCCTATTGTACTGTTGACAAATTTTTCTCTTGGCTTTAGAGGAAGGTCTTGGCCCTGAAAGGAAGGCTAAGGTCCCCCAGGGGAGGGTCTGCTTTGCCCTCAAGAGCTGGGTAAGTAATCACACGGAGAGGTGAGTCTCAGTGGTGAGAAGGCATTTTAGACTAGGATTCGGTGACCTTGGGTTCTGGTCTGGGCAGCCCATTTCAGAAGCCCCAGCCCCAGCCCAAGTCCAGACTTAAGCCCTGGGCTGGAAGCCTTTCATTGGTTCCTCTGACAGCCAAGCGCAGTCCTATGGTGGCGTAGGAAGAAAAAGACAGCCTCGCAACCTTCCGGAGAAGCCAGAACACTGGCAAGACAAACCTTACAGGGCATTCAGGCCCAGGCCCAGGCTATGCTCTTATCACCGCATCAAAGCCACCCCCTGGACTCCCCAGAGGATGCAGCCTCCTCCGTTCCTGGGCGGAGCTGGGCCTGCTGCGAGGACTCCCAGCCTTCCCCGAGTCAGGCCTAATGGCAGGGGCTTTTCTTTTCACCGGCTTGGGCTGATTCCTCCCCCCCCCCCGCCACCCCCCCGCCCCATTAACAGCAAAGAAAGGATCCTGGCCATTTCCATTTCCTCGTCTCGAGAGCCCTGTTGTTATTTAATCCCGCGGCCACCCCGGCAGCATCCTTGGTGCGACCGGCTCCACCCATCCACCTGGCCATTTCTTGGCCGCTCACGCTTCCCCAGAGGGGAGCTGGCGGGGGTGGGGGTGTTGGGGAAAGGTGCCTACAGCGAAGGGCCACGGGGGCTTCGGTGGGCAGAGGCTCTTCAGGCCTGACTCCTGTGAGGACTGAGATACAAACAGGGGTAAAGAGGGGGGGCATTTAGCCAGGGCAGTAGAGGGCGGGCGGACGCCCGGGCACTAAAGACCATTACACTGGGCCTGGGGGAGGAGGGGCGCTGGCAGGCGAAAGCCAGGCCTCCTCTGGCTGAGTTGCTAGAATCGCCCCGGGGGGTACTGAAGCCGGAAGAGGCCTGGGCCGGGTCACTGTACACACCCAAGAAATGGGGGGAGGGATGGTCTGCACTAATTCCTTAGACTCAGCCCCAGGAAAGGAACCAGATTCACTCAGCAACCCTCACCCAGCCGTCCTATATGGACAATGGACATTTTCTTAATTTTTGGTAAACGCAGCTTCTAGACCCCTCCCCCCGATGCCCCTAGGCGTCACTGGTCTACAGAAAGAGAGGACCCGCAGCAGGGGTCCTTCCGCCTTCCGCCCCCCCCCCCCCCCCCCC